TTCACAACAAATTCTTCATTTAGAACCAGCCTTTGATGCTCTGGGCCCCGCCTGGACATCATATCCTGACTTGAGTAGCCCCAGAAGGGATGAGCCCTTACTTCTGCCATGTTTCATAGACAGACCTTTCCAGGGGTTCAGCCAGGGACCTTGGTGTGGAGACTTAGGGCAGCTGTAGGCAGGCCTCAGACCTGGGCTTTGTGAGTCCAGTGGGCAAGAGCCTCCCACTTCACCTTCTCTTGCCATGGTCAGGGCCTTTCTATCTGCCCTTGGTCTATATACCAAGAGCTGGAACTCATGGACCAATCTTGGGGTTTTCTAGATATCCTGAGTCCCTGACAGCTGGTGGGCAAGGTCTTTTAGGAGCTGGGGCCCATGGGGTGCTGAGAAGTCAGAACAGCCCCCTGGATTAGGACTGGCTGAGGTCTCTGTGGCTGAGTGGTCTGTAGCAGGCATGACATGTGCAGTTTGCACCTGGCTGGGCAGCTCATGGCCTGGAACTCAATGTTTGTGGGCCACCTTGTCCCAGGGAGCTAGTTCCTTCCTGCTTTTGGGCTGGTGTCTGAACTTGCAGCAGACAGGCTGTGGACACTGGTCTCTGGTGACCTCCTGACCCAGGCAGGTTGCCAGGGGGTCGAGGGTCAGTGGAATCTGGGCCTGGTCATGGTTCCTGTGGCCCCAGGTCTCTGCTGCTCTCTGAATGAAAGTGGGTGACATCCTTGACCTCAAACCCTGTGCTGTGGGACTACTGACTGCCCTCCCTGGCTGTCTCACTATTCTCAAACATTGCCCTGGACACAGAGCAAGGCAGCCCCCCCCCCCCCACCGCCGCCTACTACTTTCCTGCATTTTCACCCTTGTATGAAGGTAATGGGCAGAGCAAACATGACAAGACCTCCTGCAGGCAAATGCAGAGCTAAATCTGGGCCCAGGCAATCTAGCTGCAGAGCCATGGGGCTAGCCTCTTGTCATCCCAGCCTCTCCTTCATTCCCAGAGCTGTGGAGAACTGCCCCCACCAACAACCATCACAGGGAAACCACCAATCATAGCCCATGTCCCAATGGGGAACACAGACTTCTTACATCTCCCCAAGATGGCCAGAAGAGCAACTTCCCAAATGAGAGATTTGTGGTAACCTTGCTTCTAGAACTTTCTCTCCTAATTTACAGCTTCTTCCAGCTGTTACTTTTTCTTCCCCCAACACATATCAGTTAAGCCCTTAACAGAGTCAAGGGCTTGAAGAATGCTAAAAATTTAATGTATGTTAAAAGGGTATTAAATTCCAAACTAAAATTTACATGGAAATAAGACATTAAAATATTTTTAGCTTTCGGGAAGCTGGGGGCTGGAATGCTGAAACACAGACAGATTTTATAATTTTAAAAAGAATTAGGTCTCCAATATTTCTTCCCTATTCCTGGAGTTAATGTGTGAAGATGTGAGTCCTGCTCTTCTGCTAATGTGGCAGGAGAGAGGAGGACAGGGCCAGCTGCTGGGGCCCTTGGAGGGAGAGCCCAGACCTAGGCAGGACCGGGGCTGCAGCCCTGCTGGCGGGAGAGGCGTGGTCAGTGTTTTCTCAGAGCATGAACACTGCCTCATGGCTACCTGGTACCCATCCCCTAGGGCTCTGTGTATATTCCTCATAGAAAGTAGGATTCTGTCCTACTTGTACAGATCAGAAAAGGGCTTAAAGTGGCTGAGTGATGGGACCAGGATCACAGCAGGAGAGGTGGAGCTTCATTGTTTCTGCAAACTCTTTAAAAAAATCTTTTTGAGCTGGGCGTGGTGGCGCACGCCTTTAATCCCAGCACTGGGGAGGCAAAGGCAGGTGGATCTCTGTGAGTTCAAGGCTAGCCTGGTCTACATAGTGAGTTCCAGGACAGCTGGGGCTACAGGGAGACCCTGTCTCGAAAAGACCAAAAAAAAAATCTTTTTGAGAACTATGTAGACCAGGCTGGCCTTGAACTCACTGAGATCCACCTGCCTCTGTCTCCTGAGTGCTGGGATTAAAGGCATGTGCCACCACGCCCGGCCTAGACTTTTAAAATTTTTATTATTTTATGTGTATGAATGTTTTGCCTGCATGTCTGTAAGTGCACCCATGCCATGCAGTGCCCTCGGAGGTCAGAAGAGGGCATCAGATCCCTTGGAACTGGAGTTAGGACAGTTAGGGAATTGAACCTAGGGCCTCTGCAAGAGCAGCAAGTGTGCTTAACCACCGAGCCATCTCTCCAGCCCTTCTTATGCAGATTTTTAGCTGTTATCTGGGGGATCCTTGGATGGTTCTGTGCTTGGCCTCCTCTTCTCCCAGCTATACTGCACATTTCTTCTGGGTGAACCCCACCACTAAGACTCTCACTCCATTTCTGTAGAAAGGGAAACTGAGGTGGGGATATATTAAAGCAGGTGTCTTCAACACCTGGCTGAGGAGCAGAGCAGGACTTCACTGCCTGTGCTGTGTGACTAGAAACCATGGCCATCTCCTGGTCACCTGATGAGGCCGGGTGGGCAGCTGTTGCTGCAGGGCCTGGGGTGGGGTGCAGGAAAGGGCGCAGCTGGTAGCAGCCGGTCTCCAGGAGGGAGCGGCTGGCAGGGGGTGGTGGGTGGAAATGACCATTTGAGGCTGCTGCTCCTTAGGGAGGCTGCTCATTGGCAGTTAAAAATCTATTGTGACTTGTCAGAAAAATGAGTAAATGGGCACATTAGTTTTTATTCCAGACCTCAGCATATGTTTGTCTAATCAGGAGGTGAGAGGCAGCCACTGCGATGGGAGCCTTCCTTCCGTCAGAGGAGTTTAGTCACATAATGAACAGCCTGTGGCCGTTTGAAATCTAACCCTGCTGCACCGAGAACTGGCTTGGGTCACAGCTCTCCCTGGTGGGACTCTGCATCTAGTGGAGGTGTTTGGTGGAAACAAACACAGATGCTTTAACCCCTCCCAGGCCTTCACTCCCTGCCTTCCCAGACTCAGATCCTGGGGTCTGTCTCTCATTGGTGGGCTGGGACAGCTGGGTGGGTGGAGGCAGGAGCAGGACCCTGAGTGAATCCTCACCCTGCCTACAGGGCCTCTGGCAGCCCTGTTCTGCTTCCTCATCTGTAAAATGGGGGTGAAGATGGCCATGGTTCATGAAACCCAGGGGAACATCAGTGTACAGCCTGGGGAGAGGCAGGCAAAGGGCAGGTACCTTTAAGAGATCACTAAGGCAGGGCTGGTGAGATGGCTCATTGGGTAAATGCACTTGCTGCCAAGCCTGATGACCTGAGTTGGATCCCTGGGACTTACATGGTGGAAGTAAAGAACCAATTTCTGCAAGTTGTCCTCTACGCAGGCACTGTGGCAATGCTCCCGCACCCCAAATACATTAGTAAAATAAAAACTTTTTTTTTTTTTTTGGTCTTTTTTGAGACAGGGTCTCCCTGTAGTCCCAGCTGGCCTGGAACTATGTAGACCAGGCCCGCCTTGAACTCACAGAGATCCGCCTGCCTCTGCCTCCCAAGTGCTGGGACTAAAGATATATGCCACAATGACCCGCAATAAAAACGTTTTTAAAAGAATTGCCAAGGGCTGTGTGAGATGTGGCTGTTGTGAATGACATGATAAATTTTAGGGGTACAGGGATGAGTGTTTTAAATCTGAAGTTATTTATTTCAGCGTGCATCGGAAAACATGTGGTATTCACCAGATCCTGACTTCATGGCTTTACTTGTTTAGCACAGGTTTTAAGGTGAGAAAACACTAATCTGAATTAAAGGAAAATGTTGACTCACAGGGTGGCCAGCCAAGGGGAACCCCATCTGGGACTTTTCATCCTTGATCCTTCCTGAGCTCCTTGGCAGCAAATCACCATGTGAGTGTGCCTCGGCAGACTGTGAGTGGACGTGGGCAACACACCACCTCTTCCCTAATATTTTGTTGTCAACCCACACTCCAGCCCTCCTGCCCTAACCCTGGCCTTTTAAGGAGCCAGAGGTTGCTGGGCCCATGAATATGAATGACTTTGCTAAGTCAGTAAGTTTGGGGGTTGTTTGCCAGCACAGGAACCTGGCCCATTCTTTCTAGGAAGCACACATCCCACGCAACCCTGGAAGGAGCTTAGTTTCACCTCCATTTTATAGAAGGGGAAACTAGGCTCAAGGAAGTCAATTAACTCACCCAAGGGTCCAGTAACCAGGAGACAGAGCTGGAAACAGAATCCACCGTAGCCTGGAAGGCCACATTGAATCTTTGGTCCTCTCTCAGCCCTGACAGGCTGTAGCCCTGGGTCTGGGGAGGTGGAGAGCTTGTGGACACAGCTGGTAGGTTTTCAGGGACACAATGGGTGGGGCTACCTCCCAGTCTTGAACTCTATAAAGACTCAGAAAAGTGGGCTACTTGTTCACTCGGCTGGGGAGAGGGACTTGAGGGCAGAGGGCAGTCACACAGTGCCAGGCGTGGTCCGGGCCCCTGAGCTGGGGGACTTCTGGTCTACAGCTACCTGCCAGAGATGGGCGATCAGGATGACCAAACTGGCCAACAGGAAAAGCGTGGGGCCCAGAGGTAAGTACTATGGCCAGGGGTTCCGGCAGAGGCTCAGAGCTCAGCTAGACATGAAAGTACTACCCTGATGGAGGGCTTGGACCCAGACCTCCCCTTCAGGGCCAGGGAAGCTTCTACAAGGCTAGCAAACAGAAGGCACTGGAAGGGTGGCTCATGATGATCTGGAGGAATTGAGACATCCTGGAGGGCTCAGGAGAGGTCATCTAACCTAGCACATGCATTGTGCTACCAGGGAACTGCAGTCCCACGAGGGGAGGTGACCAGCTGAACCACACACCGCCACTGGTGCAGAGTAGAGGACACGATTCCAGTGTCCCCTTGAGAGAAGAGCGTACCTGTCCTGTTCAGCACCAGAGGTGACCTTGTGCATCAGCTGCCAGCCAGTGCCACCCCAGAAGACTGACTGTGTGGTCTTCAGCATTATGTACCCAAGACTTTAGGAATTCAAAGCAATATACAAAAGAGGGTATTTATGACTTTTATTTTAGTATTTTAATATTGAATATGTGACAAGATTTAATGACCAAATTAGTCATTTACATTTTTCAAAGATATCTAAATATAAAATTGCTAAAAATTCAAATACAGAGAGCAAGCTACAAAGAATATTTTTTTGGGGGGGGGCTTGGGAATGAAAGACATTAGAAAAGGGTGTTCCTGCTAGCTGAACAGATCAGAATTAGAGAGGAACTCATTCAATTTCTGTGCAAAGAAATATACTTGGCTCTGAGATGCTGTTCAGACACAATGTTTTTAAAAAAATGTTCTCAACACAGGCCCATGGGCCTGGCCCTGGCCAGCATAAGCACATGCTGCAACAGGAGGGGCCCTGGCAAGGGCTGAGGAGGCATCTGGTGTGGCCAGAGGTGTGGTCAGGGTGCCGGGCACTCTGCCTTTCCTGCCCAGGGCCCAGGGTGTAAGGACAAGGGCTCCCCTCTGCTCGATAACAGTGGACAGCAGCAACAGCTTTCTGGCCCGCTGGCATAGCAGGCACTGTGAGGACAGGGGAACAGAGCCCTGCAGAGCCAGCCAGGCAAGCTCATCCAGAAACCTGTGTACAGGTCCAGTGTCAGCTGAGACAGACACCTGCTATCAGGAAGTGGAACCGACTACCCTGCGTGGGAGCTTGGCCCACCTGGAGACACTGGCTTGTGGAGAAGAGACGGCTTTTGAAAGGGAAAATGACAGCCTTTCAACACACAGGCACGCAAGCAGCGTGCACACAGGCTAAGTGCTCATTCCTAACTTTAGTCTGTTGCTATCCTCAAGGCAAACACTCAAACAAATGGCACAGTTAAAATTATAGGTGAAGCCCTAAACACTCCCTCTGAGAAATCGAACCCCAGCTTTTCCAATCTGCCTGTTTAAAGTGGGAACAGATTTTAAGAGGATACTATAATCAATCAATCCTCCGCCCCAAAGAATGCTCCATCATATCAACCATGATAAAGAGTACACCTGTTTATTAAAAGGAAAAAAAAGAAATGTACATTTTTGTTCTTCGTTTGCTTTAAGAAATTTGATCAAGTTGCAAGGAGATGTCTGGCATGGCTATATACATCCTCGGTGGTGAGCCAGGCAGTGAAGACGGCTGGGCAGCATGTGGCTCCTCCAGGGGCAATCTGCTCCCTGGGCATTGCTACTCAAAGCCACTGCCAGGCTTCAATCCACGGCAATGTCCCCGGAAACCAGAGCAGGGTATCCCCTACCCCAAACCTTCCCTAGAATCCAGCAACCCCATGCCTGTGAGCCCAGGCTGCCTCCAGCAATGCAGGGCTCGGAGACCACCTGGCCCTGCAGGCAGGCTGAGCTGTACAACAGATTGGAGACCAGTGTCACTGCTGCCCTGATTTCTTCTCCTTCTGGAAGCTGAAGCTTGTTCGTCTGTTCAGTTTTCTTTGTTTTTGAGCAAAGTAGTCAGCCCGGGCAGTGCTTGCTCGTGATTCCAGGATGTAGTTAACCTAGAAAGCAAGAGGACACAGCTGTCACTAGCCAGCTTGCTGCTCACCCAACACAGGGTGAAGGGAGGCCAGTTTTGGGCTGGGCCCTGGGGACAGGTGCTCTTTGGCCGGAGTTCAGGTCCTGAAGCAACCTGGTAGGCTAGGATGGGGCCCTGCTTTACAATGGCACTGACAAGACGCCAGTGTGGGCCTCTCTCTCAGCAAGAAGTGGGGCTCTCTCCTCCCAGGCCTCTGCTTTCCCTTTGGTGTAGACTGCTCCCCCAGTACTCCCTGGCTCCCATATGACCTTCACGTCTGAGAGATGAAAAGTCACAGTCAAGCTCCCCTTCAGCCTCCTGCCAGCCTGGCTTCCTTTAATGTCCACAGCCAGGGCCAGTAAGGAAAGGAAAGCTAGGCTCGGAGATGAAGGCCACAGCTAAGGGCACTGGAAGTTAGGATCAAAGCTGTTTGGAGAGGGTGTACTCTTTTCCAGGGCTACATGTCCAACTCTCACCTGTGCACCAGTCCTGACACGGCTCCCTCATGGACCTGCTGCCCTCTGCTCTGTGTGAAACTCCCATTCTCTTCATCCTCACATTTCTGTACGTTATGACAACAGAGCTCAATCCCTGGGTCAGAGGAGGCAGCTGCATGGGGTTAGGCTCCAACACTGTCCCTCTGAAGTTTCTGCTCTGGTCATCACCATCAGCAGGTGGTACAGGCTGGCTTATGGGTACAAAAGGCCTGACATACTCAGCCATGGCCTCGCCAAGTTACCAGCTGAGAGCAATGAATCACAAGGACACGGGCTGGGCAGGTGATCTGGGGCAGTGTGGATGGGTGTGGAGACCCGGGGTTTGTCATTCCTAGTAAAAGACATCTTTGGACTGTTTGCACACTCAGTCGACCCCTTGTTTGCAATGCATTTTTGGCACACATAATTTGACAAAAGCATTTAAGAAGCCAACTATTTCCTAAATTTATTAAGTGCTTTGTGATAATCACACAGATAATTTTAATGGAAGATTAATGTAATAATCAAAAGATAAAAACACCCTTTGGTCTTCCATTAGCTGGTTAATATGCTGTGGCTTAAAACTTGCACAATTTTATGCACTATAGAGTGTTTCACTTTCAGTGCGTTTTATAGCTTAAGGCATAAAAATATAGGGCGTTTTCATGGTCAATAAAGCTACAGCCTCCATCACTCGATCACAAGAACCGGTGTGAGGAGCCCAAGCTCCCTGGATGCATCTGGGAGTCTGTGAGACCAGGGACCACAGGGCCAGGCTCTAGTGCAGAGGGTAGGAAGAGGTGGCTCTGCACAGTGCAGATCTCCCTCTCCTCTAAAATGGGGTGATGATGTCTGCATGCTGCAGGGCGACTGGAATGAGACATCCATCCGCACATGAAACATCTCAGATGTAGCTGGTCTCACAGACTATTTCTACAGGGAGAAAGAAACAAGAAAAAAAGCCCTCGATGGAGGCGGGTCGTCTGTAGTGGCTGTGCTGCACCAGCCTTTCGCTCTTGGTTTCTCCTTTTTTTTTTGGTCTTTATGAGACAAGGTCTCCCTGTGGTCACAGCTGGCCTGGAGTCGCTAATGGAGACCAGACTGGCCTTGAACTCACAGAGATCTGCCTGCCTCTGCCTCCCAAGTGCTAGATTAAAGGCATGCGCCACCACCCCCAGCATGGTTTCTCCTTTTAATTGTGGTCTAAATTCTCATTCTTTGTACAGCTCTTGAGTTATATCAGTTGAATCTGACCCTAAAGAGCTGGTAAGATTCCTGTCAAATTCCAGAACTACACTGGGGTCTTGGTTGCCAGCACAAAGCTCACACCGACACAAATGGCTAAGGCTGGGCAGTTAAGCCTCTGAAAGGGCAGAAGGTGGGAAGTGAAGTTCAACCCTCCCTCAGGGCCACCACCATCAGCTGTGAGTCAGTCAGATCCCGGCATGCGGTTCTCCGAGGTGCTCGATGATGCAATATTTCTACAAACATTCTGAGATGAAAACAGACATTTCAGAGGAGGCGGTAAGCCTCGGGGGTTTTTGCAGAAAAGCGTTTGTTTGAGGAGTGCTCAGTCCTGTAAAATGATTTCCTTACACTTGATCTTCCAGAGTCTCATATTGAAGTCATAAACCTGTTTCTGTCATCAATCTGCTGTTGTGAAAATTATCATGATGTCAAACACAGGATTATAATTTTACTAGAATCCTTCTCAAGTCTTGAATATTTTAATGCTGGCTATAAAAAATAAGACCAGCCCCTGGCAGGATACAGGAGTATTTCTTTACCCACTCCCCAAACACTTGGCACAAGTTCCTTGGGCTGTCTTCTGGTGTTCTGGCGAGTAACTCTTGGCTCGCCAGGAGCCCGGCACTCCTGGACAGGACACTGTCTTAACTCTGGTCCCTGGGGGCTCTGGTCAATGTGGCCTATAAACTTCCCGAACCTCCCATGCCACTGTCTCAGTCTCAACCGTCCTCTCAGCAGCTTTATCTTTTGCTCTTTTGTGTGTCTTTGATGGCCATGGTCTGTCTCACAGAATTCCTGTAAAGTCAGGTATGTCTGGGGGATAAGGAGTGTTCTGGAATCTGCCAAACCCAGGGGCAAGTTCTGGCCCTACCAACTTACCAGGTTACTACCCTGGCTGTTACCTTTCCTCTGGTGTCTTGGACACTGAGGGAATGGGAACATTTTCCTGTGTCCATCTCAGACTTGTGAGGGCTCAGTGAGAGCCTGCATGAAATGTCAGCCCAGGCCAGTCACCGTGTCCCTCAGGGCACCTCAGCTGTCACTACCACCTGACCGCTTCTTAAGAGGAGAATTTACAGGGGTGGGGTGCACATCTCATCTGGTTTACACCTAGTAGCCCTTTAGCCACCTACCCTGTGGGGAGGAGCATTTTTGTTCAAACTCCTCTGGGTCTGAGCAGCTGTTTTTTCACATTGTTCAGTCTGAATAGGATTTACCTTAGGGATGCAATCTTAGTTTGGCAGCAGGTCAGAGTACTGCCAAGACCAGTGGCCTGCCTGGTACCCAAGTGTTTCAGAGACGGGAAGGGGGCCTGAGCCCTGCCTTACAGCTCGAGTCAACGCATGGGATTCCCACCAAGCAGGCCATGCTCAGTGTGACTCCACTCTTCAGGCTCCCTGCCTAGCCCCTTCCCTTGCTGCTATGAATCTGCTGTCTATGCAGGACCAGGTATAGCCCTCTGTCCCCTGCCAAGTCAGCTGACCTGTCACACACTTACACAGAACCCCTGTCGACTGTCAGTATCTCCCTGAAACTTGTTTCATTTTGGCTCTCCCGATAGAGGCAGAGTTCTCTGGGGACAGGGTAGCCTTTATTGTGGCAGCTCAAACAGTAGGTTGGCACAGGAGAGGGCACTGAGTGTGTATGCTTACTCAGTGAGTATGAGGTTCAGAACCAGGCAAGTCTAACTCTAGCTGGCACGCTTCCAGCGGGTTGGGAAAATCATCTGGATGACAGTTTTTTGTTGTTGTTTTTATATTTTTGAGATAGTCTCCCTGAAGCCCCAGCTGGCCTGGAACTCACTATGTAGAACAGGCTGGCCTCAACTCACAAAGACCCCCTTGCCTCTGCCTCCCAAGTGTTAGGACTAAAGGTGTGCGCCACTACGCCTGGCTTGGGAAATCAGAGTGATTCAAAATTACCATCGTTTCCTCAAGGAGCTCTTTAGTGTGGGGGAAAATCAATGGTGCAGGAAAACTAGAAACACATAAGGAAAGGGGCTGGGAGGAGCTCAACAAGGTCTGTGGCTAAGGCAGGTGCAGGACTACTGCTCTGGGGCTGGTGTGGTCTGAGACCAGCCTTCCTTCCCATCCCTGGGTCCAGAGGCCATACTCACCTTGAGCACGATCTCGTTGACCGTAGCAGCGTCAGATTCAAAGTAGAGGTGTTTATAGTCGTGATTGCTTAGATACGTGAGCTTAAATATTGCGTGACCTGGAGAGAGAGGGGGGGCAGTGCTGAAGGGTCTTGGTAAGGTCCCTTGGAGGGTAGTGTGCCCATGTGTCCCCTACCCCCTGGACTCCAGCAAGACCATGTGGAGGCGAGACTAAAGTAAGCGGAGATGCTGGGTTTCTCATCACAAGCTGGGTATAAACAGACAATAAAGACCCAAAAGACTGGCTGAGCCCCATCCCCTCTGCAGAGCACTGAGAAGCACGTCAGCAAGGCCTTACCGTGCTCCTTCTATGGGGGAATTCCATGAGCACTGGTCTTTTTAAGGCAGAGGGTCAATTCACCCCAAATTATTACTCTAAAAATAAAGAAACGGGGCTTAAAGTGAACAAGAGAAAACCTCTGAACAGTGCTGGCTACTGCTGGGAGAGGGTGCCTTTTCCACCCTGGAAGGATGGGGTAGGGGTGCTTTGCAGACCACAGCACGCTGGTGCCTCATAAAGCACCTTGACCTCACGGACCTGGCCTGGGTCCAAATTCTTTCCTGTTAATTCTTTCATTAACTTTCCAGAGTTAATGGGACGACTGTTTAGTTCAGCCTCATGCCACCCCACTGCCCAGCCTAAGGAACTGCTCTCTTCTTTGCTCCACCTGTCCCTAGACGCCCTTCTCCCTGCCCTGCCTAGGAAAGCTCTCTAGGGTCACCAGGGTGTCTCTGCACCTACACTCTGGGCATGCTTCCTGCCTGGCTACTCCACCGTGTGGCCTGTTAGAGACTTGCTTGTTCTGTGCAGCAGCATCTACATTCCTTTACCTTCTCTTTACACGATAGACAGGTGCTCTCCTCTAAATGGAGGCAAAGGTGCCAGCCAGTGTGACTTGGACAGGACAGGCTAAAGGAGGAGCTTTGGATTCCTGGCCTCTGCCTCAAGACTTCATCTGCACACGTAGACCTTGGGATCTGGAAGACCTAGGCCCCTTCTAGGTAATTCTTCCTCTTCAAATATCTTGAAGCTGCACCCACCACCAGCAATCAAAGGAACACTGTCCAAGGATATGGCCCTGTGCTGGGGACCTGTCTAGACCAAGAGAACTGGGCACAGGTGACCAGAACCTCACAGCCCCAGGTCCTGCCCATGAGCTCTCCCAGGCCCTGCACGCTCTTTCTATTGAGCTTCCTCATCCGTTGTCCTTTTAATTGAAACGGTGGCTGGTCATGTTATTAATTAATAATATATCACCCATATTACTGTAAGTTCACCTCTTTCCCGGAGATCTCTTCTGGGGGACTTTATTTACAGTAGCTAATTTTTCAGATCTTCAAAAATAAACTGATATATGTTGTACATTTGTGACCAGAAAAGTTGAGCCGCTGGCATTTTATCCTGGAAACATCATTGCAATATACTAATTGGGACTATAAATCCTATATTGAAAAAATTAGCTAATAATTTCTGTTAAAAAAAAATACCCTTCACTTTCAATTACTTGATAAATTTAGCCTGATTTTAAATTGTGGCTCTAAAATGTTAGAATTCTTGACTGGAAGCTAATCACTTTGTTAATGTATGAAGTACTTGTTTCTGATAGGGAAGTGAATTCTCATTCATACGCCCTCCCCTCTCTCTCTCAGAACACTAGTCTTGATGACATCACCTCAAGGAAGAACAATGAGGATACATTTGTTGGCCACACTGTGATCAAGCAGAGTCATCTATGAAGGACACTGGGCTATGAAGGACAGAGACACTCCCCCAGGAGGCCTTACTGCAGATACCTGGCCATGACACAGACAGCATGGCCTGGGGCTAGAAAGGACCAGAAGGTCTTAGGGAGGCCTGCAGACCTGAAGCTTCAAGGTTCACTGGCCACTCCGATAAGTGATCTCACGCACGGTCTATACCACCTGCTCCTGCTCCTGCTCGTCATTGACAAAACAAACCCTCAAGATGCAGGTGGTATGGTTTTCCTGAAAAGTTGAGACAACATTAAAAATGTCTTGTAGTTTAGATGGATCAAATCACACAGCACATGTGATGTGGGGCTTGCACAGGTCTGAGAGCCCAGGATGCTGCCTGGACTCTGTCCCCTTGGGACCGCAGCACCGTGGAATCTGTCAACTGTGGGCTCTGAGGGGAAGCCTGCTGTTCATCTGCACAGTCATATGGGCAAAACAAGTTATTGTCAGCCAGGTCTCAAAGGTCAAGGGACCCCCCAACTCCTGTGACCCTACTGCAGGAGAAAAGTGGGGGGATGATGAAGAGCCCCCTCTCCTGGGCATGACTGCTCCGAGGCAGTCCTTCCACCGAGGGGAAGAGAGAGGGTCCTTTCTGCAGTGCTGTGCTCTCCAACAAATCTAGAGTAACTGTTAGCCACCAGGTAAGGCTGGTGGCTAGTACAGCAGACAGTGTGACCCAGAGCCTGGGCTATGAACTCAGGTCAATGGCAGCAGCTTTGTTGTCACCCATGCTGGGCTGCAGGACACAGAGGTGACTCACTCTCAAAAGCACTTTCACTTGGTTCCTCACTCCAGCCTCCCTCTTTACTGGGTGGCCAGTCCAGGCTTTGCCTGGAGCACAGGCTGGTGTAGGAAAGACCCTTAAGGACAGTTTCTTGGAGGCCAAGGGTTGACTGAGTGAGGAGGAAGGTACACAGCCCTGGTAAACCAACTCTGCGAGAAGCCAGAGCACACCAGGGTCATGGTGAGCAGACGGGTGGTGACTGGCAATGCCTGGATGGACCTACCAGTCGATGAAGCCACTACTGGGTTGAAGCACAGCAGTGACATGCCTGGGGTGTCTTTAGCCATTTCCCCTGGGACTCTGGAGCCCAGGTGCCATAGTGAGCCAGGCAGCAGTGCCCACGGCTCTGAGCTGGACAGGGCAGAAAGGATGCCAAGACAGGCTGATGTGAGAACTGCAGGGCAAGCCATGGTGGCAATGCTGGGAGACTTACAATGAGAGCCAACAGAGGGAATCCACACTTGGATAGCTCATCCATTCCTAAACCTGTTCCAATTGTAACAACTTAACTTTATACTACATAGTAAACTTCCATCAGAGGTGTCTGGGAAGGAATCACTGGCACTACATAGAGCCTGAACTGACTGGAATGTCAAGTCTGCTCTCAAATCCCTTCACAACAAGGCCGACCTAGGGGCCAGGGAGAAAGCGGCAGCAAATGACAGTAGGAACCCACAGGACATGTGTCTTGAGGACCAGGTGGGCAGGTTGACCCCTGAAAATTCAAGGACCATCAGTTTTCATAGAAAGGGGGAGCCACAGCAACACAATGTCTCTGTTAAAACCTCAACTGAGAAGACTATTATTGCTTGAAGTCTAGTATTCAACCTAGTTCAAATTGTTAAGTTCCATTTGGAAATTAACATAAGATGAAGCCCTGAGATATGGTGGGAAAAAGCAGGAGCCCCAGAGTCTGGCATGGTTGCAGTCTCAGCTGTGGGCAAGGCTCTGTCCCTCCAGGAACCCAGGCATCTGCTACCCCACACACTACCACACATGATTCTACCTCACACACACCTGGAAACAGTTCATGGGCGCTAACTCTACCGTGGTGGAACTGCTATTTGGTTGCAAGTCTGAGCTCAAACTTCAGAAGACAAAAGAAAAACCTGCACACGGTACCTCAGAACCCACCACTGCAGTACAGTGATGCCCACGGGGGCTTTCCTGACCATCTTCATATGAAACATAGTTTACTGAAATTTGAGTTTTGTTTTTTTTTTAAATTCTCATTTTATTACATCCCTGTCTCTGCTGATGTGGTCTCCACAATCATCTCCAACAAGTGCTCTCATGGCTCATTCTACAGATTCTACCTGAATCTATGTTACTGAGGAAATTGCAACATTATGAAGGTGGCTATAAAGGGCAGTTTTGAGGGTTTGGATTCTCAGTTTATTTACGGCAGGATGGATAAAAAAACTCAGCTTCTGGGATCTGGTCTTTTCTAGGGCATGGGAAAGCTCACTGGACTTTGTTGGCGAAACTGATGGGAACACTATTTGGGCACAGCAATACCCCCTTTTTTTGAGATAGGTTTTCACGCAGCTCAGGTTGGCCTCAAACTCAATATTCACCTGAAGCTGGTCCTGATCCTACTACCTCAACCTCCTGAGTGCTGCAACTAAAGTGTGCACTAGCACACCTGGTTTCCAGCTCTACCTTTCTGCAGCTCCAGGTAGAAAGGTAGGCTTCTCTCTGATCTGAGACTGAGTTCTCAGCTGGGTACCCTAATATGGCAGAGGCCCCAGAGCATAACAGCCTCTCTGACCTTTGGGCACATGGCTGTATCTGACCTAGTTCCACACGTATCTGTGAAAAACTCCCCCACTTACACTTTGGTTCCTTCCTATAAACGTAATTAAGTCTAATTATAAAAACTCCCATGACAACAGGATTTGCTTTGCTCTAATTTACTGAAAACATTCTGCTATAGTGACTACGCCCTCACTGGTGAGGGCACCAGCTCAGCTGCTCCTGATTTGTCTGATATCCTCCTCCCTGGGTTTCTGGTCAATCTATTTCTATTTCCTTTGCAACCCTCTTGACTTCCTCTTTCCCTGAATGGCCTTCCCTAGAGTCGGTATCTTCCAACTCTTTCTCGGCTTGGGTGGCTTGGACCCTTGGGTTTGAATCACCCTGTCATGCTGATGATGAAGTGGGTATCTGGCTTAGACCCTCCTCCAGGAGCCAGAGGCTGCCACCTCCACAGGAACCTTAAAGGCAGAAAGCTGAGTCACTGTGGCCTGCTGGGCATGTGTGGAGGAGGCTGCTTCTTGGCTGGGTGGAGGGGTAGCCATGTACACTGAGGGGCCTTGGCTGTGAAATTTGTGATTCTGGCAAAGACTGAAATCATGGCCAGCCAGAAAGTGATGCTAACCCTAGCTCACTGTACTAAAAACTACCTTGTTCTGAATCATGTCCTGGCTACATACAGAGGCGTGGCTTTGAGGATATTACATTTCAGGTTGGGTTCAAAACAACACCAGCTGTGAAAACAACACAAATAGATTCTCAATA